TACTTAATGAATAATATGAATAATGTGATGATTGTAATCAACTTGGAGGAGATGGATGCTCCTTTCTTTGTATTCAAGAGGATTCCTATTAGTGCAAAAACTATGTAAATTCTTCTAGTATTTGTTCATTTATTCAAGCTCCAGATTTTAGATTGAATCATCTCTAAAAATAATAAAATCAAACTTAAATTATTGAATTAAGTTTCACTTAAAAAGTTAAAATACCGACTGATTTAAGTTTTGAAGAAATTGCATTAATCTCAATTATACCATAAACTCGCATTAATATAAATATTTTGAATATAACAAGTCTATCAAATTAATTTGAATATCAACTATATTAAGTTATCGTTGAATTTATAGAACCTGTAGAAGATGCTTATCTATAGATAGAATTTGATTAATCAATTATCAAAAATGAATATGATTTAGATTTAATTAGACATTAGATGTAAATAAAACTTGGAAATCCTTTTATACTTTCATAATAAAACTAACAGAAATTGACATAAATCGTACTTCTCAATTATGTATTAAATGATTAGAATATCTAGATTAGCATTCCTTACTGGAAACGCTATCATGTTTTTTAATTTAATAGACATTTTATAGTCTTTATCCTATATTAGATATATGTAATATAATTTCCCACCACATTTAATCTAATTCTTGAATACATATTCTAAAATATCATTAAAACCAATTTTGGATCATTTGAAGTAGGATGAATTATTAAAATATTTAGATGGAGGTAAGCTACTTTTCCAAAATTCAAAGAGCTCAAATTAGAATCAAATAAATCCTGTAAATTAATTTTACTTATTGAATGCTAAAGATTGTGATTTATCAATTTTAGTTTCATTATTTACATATTTAATTTGTAAACTATTAACATCTTAAAAAATATTATCAATACAAATAAAATTATTTCAGAAAAATAAATAAAACAAATTATACCTTCGTTTTATTTTATTTTACCAAGAAAAAATACAGAGCTTTTGTGCTAAATTTATAAAAGAATATATCTCTTTTGGTTTACCTAGAGTCTATTTTGCTATATTGCATCAATTATTTTTTAGTGCCTTGTTGTAATTTCTAAATTATAGCTTTAATTCTCTATATATAACATTTAATAGCATCAATGCAATATTTTGTTAAATTTTAATTGTATATATTAGTTTATAATTACTTTCAATAACATAAGACTAATATAAAAGATAGGCTAAAATGGAAATATTTTTATTAAGATTCTTAACCTTAATTTTCGGCATTCAATTAAAAATCATTCTAGATTTACAGAATAATGTTTTATATTTTTATGATTGTTGAGGCACTTAATTATCCAGAAATATAATCAATTTTACTCTATTTCCTCATTTTTCTATCTATTATACTTAATTAAATTTAGACCTCTAAAATCTAAATATGAAGAAGCTAAACTGATATCAAAAGAGTTTTTTTTTACTCTTATTTCAGGATCATTTTTGATTTAGAGCTTTTAACTCAATTATAATTAGTAATTATATTATGGAAGGATTCAAATTAGACTTTTTACTCTTATGCTAATCTTCAATTTGATCATTGATTTAATAGAATGTATAAATAAAGCAATACAAAAACATAAAAGAAAGTAAGAAAAACTATCAAAAAAAGAAATTTATAATAAAATTAATCATCTTGAATAATTTATTATAATAGACACACATAAGTAATTCAAAAGTTAAGAAGGTAAACCAAAAAATTGAAATAATTATGAAATAAATAGTTTATTAATAAATAAATATGTATATTTATGAATCTTGGTTTAACAGAATGATTATTTTTATGATTTTATCTTAAATTGCTAAATTAATTAATTCTTATTTTAAAGACATTTATATAAATTATTTTTATTAGCTGTTGTAAATATTTATTAGTTGCCTCCTAATCTTAAATTATTATCTAACATTTTTTTACAGGAATTCCATACAAATTATATATAAGATACTAATATAATTCAAAAATTAACTAATATTTTAGAATGAGACAAATACAGTGAATATATTTCTAATTTGGTCTTTTTTGCATTCGTTTAATTCCTATATTGTTAAGGAGCTGTAAATTTTTTTATTTTAAAATCCTCTTTCTTAAACTAATTAATATTTTTATCATTAATTATCATGATACCTAGTTCATTTAAAAAAACAAAAATTAAATTACAATTACAAAAAATATTTACTCTATTTTGTCTTAAAAATATTAGGAATTATAATTTCATTTTAATTTTAGATTTATTAATAGAAAACATCTTTTAATTTTAATTTTAAGTTTTAGTTAAAGAAATTCATCTAAATAAATCAATTCACTTTAAACTTCTAACTATAATTATCTTATAGTAATTAAAAAATAGAAAAATCTACTCAAATTTTCTATAGTCTAGTAATTCACATAATTAATGCTTAATCGATGTTGAATTAAATATAAAAAAATAAAAAATTAAATTAATGAAAATAAATGCTTCTGTATACACCTTTGGTAAAAAAGACCCATTTAGGCTTCTTAATTGCAGTTAAGGGCTTCAAAGATTACCAGATTCAGAAACCCATGGAAGAAGGAGCCCGAATAGCTTCTCCATGTGGTTGGGTTTGGGT